GACGGGACCCGGCCATATTTTCAAATTTCAAGAGGCCGAAATCCTCGCAAGAGGTGACAACCGCGTGAGCCGCGAGCTGCTCGAGTCATGGTTCTCAGGCCCGCAATCCATTAACAAACACAATGACCTCCCGGTGCCCTATGGCGTATTGCGATTTTCCCTGGGCAGGAGAATCAGTCACGTGGGGAGGGCGCGGGTGAGCAATTATCACGGTGACAGTGAGCCAGTTTGCCGAGCAATCGTCACACCAGCATCGAGCACGGATGACGAAATCGCGGCAATTAACAACTCGGACTCGGACCGCCAAGCCACCGCCGCATCAATTACGACCCCAGCGGCGATTGTGAGAACTGTTAATTGCAGCGCGCATACGGTCCTACGGCAGCCACGTGCTATAAATACTGCACTCCTGGTGCCACATTCACCTCTATAGTCGACTTCACTCGCACAGGCTACTTGCACAATCTCAGTCAACGGCAGTACTAAAGCAACGGAACAACCGCAACTTCGGCAAGATTAGTACGGCTGTGGGCTACCACCCGGCGCGTCAACATGTGGCTGACATCATAATTAACATTCAGCGAGGGCTAATTGCAAAAAAGGTGAGATTTCGGGTCTGATTAGTAAATACTTGCAGGTTCTGCATTGGTAATGACTCAAGGTCTGACTGAACAACCCCTTGGAAGATCGGTTATCTGGAAGAGGAAAGCTATAGCGGATATTGCCTGCCAGCCAATAAAGTCTCATTCGTCGTCTGGCATAATTTTAAAAAATAAAGTCCCTGGTGGGGGGGGGGTGGCAGACAGAGTCGTCCACCTTCAAATTCAGATAGGACATGAAACCATCCAACCATAAAGCGGTGGGGTGAGTCGTGGTCTAACTGGGTAACTACACGATCGTGTCTCCTTCTTCATGACTGCTTTCTGGGACTCGTCTCTTCGCTTCTATCGACAAAGATGATTCAGTTGAGACGAGCAGAACGAGGAGCAGATGATTTAATCTCAAAAGTGAATCTCTTTATGAATGTATGAGATGAAAACAGTTAATAAAAAGAAAGTGTCCATGTTCATGAAAGAAGGCAATTAGAGACGCACAAGAAGAGTGTGGATTTAAAAAAGCTGAGAATCGTTGTGGTAATAAAAAAGCGTACAACACCGGAACGGGGAGGGGGTAAGCGGAAGGGCGGCTGACATCATTTTCACAAAAGCATGTGTATCGAGCTATCATCAGCGTCAGCGTCTGAACCACTGCCAACATCGGGACGATGCTTGCGACGACAACGCCGACACTGGCAACAGCGGCCTCGGGCGCAGCCACAACAGTTCGACCAAAGGGCTGGCAGACAGCAGCGGCAAGCATTGCCAAACACGGAGGCGGAGACAGTCTCATCGGGCTCCTTTTGCAGACGCACCAAGTTCACAAACACCTGCTCCAAAGTCGTCTGGCTAATGTAATACGCACTGATACCCAATTCTGTTTTGTAGCACTCAATCAGACCGAAAATACGGCTCAAAAAGGCAGCGGTGGTGGGGGTGGCATTGACGGAGCCAGCAGAGGGATCCATCAGATGAAATTGTAGCACACCCTAGAAGAGAATCAGTACGCCTACATAAAGTTCTGTGAAACAAACCTGGCGTTAAAAGGGACCATTCTCGAAACGTGAAAATAGCGAAGTATTGAACAGGGCTCAATAGGAATGATGGCAAACAAACTATGACAGTTCGACCGTCCTGACTGAAAATGTCACCGTGTATTCCAAAGCAGGATGGGAGTATGGACGGTGGCTGGAGCGTAGACTCGTTTTATCATGATAGCCGACTTGTGCAGCATCTATCGCACGCTCTCCTCCTCTCCCATCTGGGCCCGGTGTCAAGACCAGAGGCACGGCGCAAACCCGCACTTAGATGTACCATCACACTATGCGGTTCGTAACGTACACTGGCCAGGGTGTCATACCGCAAGAAAAAAACGGGGGGCGGCTCAGGTCCCGATGGGAGCGGCATAATTCTGCACCTGGGCATGCTACCACATCCCGATGTTGACATTTCTTATGGGCGCGCATTTCCAATAATGCTCGCCGAACTCTGATCTAGCTCCCGTGTTGGCCCAGCGCATCTGCCGGGGGCAAAACACACACACACACACTGATTACCCTGTGTCACAGATTGCCTCAATGTTGAGCAATGCGAGATGCAGCCTTCCAACCAACCGGCAAACCCTGTCCGTCAAAAGCGGGTCACGGAGAGCAATGCATGGAGTACGACTGGGGGATTTCACGCATGGCCGGGGACTAAGAGTAGGTTCTCAGGACAAGTCTATGTATCAAAGCGATCAGCAGCATAACAGTTGGCACAAGACAGACACAAGCAATTAACTAAAATGGCCCGGATCGGTGTTCCACTAATCTGAAGCTGAACCTGCGGTGACATGACTGTGCCTGAGCCTAGCCCCGTCTGGGTACGGCGTCGAGACAACCAACCCAAAAGGCAGGTGCCTGTGCTGGGGGCGGCTCTCAAGTACACGTCTGGTGGCGACATTTTCAGTCAAGTGAGATCCAACCGGAGACCCTCTGATAAACACATAATTTAGCGAGAAGATCGTGTGCGGCACGCGTGAGCGGGATGTTCTACTTCGCCGGCCACTGTGGTCATACTCACAGCTGATCGCTTGATTTTTTCATCACCACCGCAACATAACGGATTTGGGAAGAGCAAAGTGGATGCTGTGAAAGTCGGCTGCGCTGTCAATAAATCCTAAGTAGGTTATCATTGCAGTCACCTTATGGGGCAGTGTTGACTTTCAGAAATAACCATAAACTGGACGTCGGTTCAACAGCAAGTCAAACTTCTCCCGAGACTTCCCTGCTGCGAGGTCATCCTCCGAAACTTTAGTTTGCACCACAGACCGGCTTTAAAGACATGACGAAGGCCCTCGAGGGCACAAGACGTCAGCAACAAGTCGAGGGGAGGGGAGTGCTGTTGTTCTAGGGTTGATGATGCTGCCTAACGACTAAAGGCTCTAAATCATTGAAAGATTGCAGTGTGCCTCAGAAGCAGCCTTCAAACAGGGAGGTCATATCAGGACAGAAAAAAGGGGGAGGGCTTACAAGAAACTCAGTCATTAAAAAAACACGGTGGGAGACCCCTAACTGCAATTCCCAGTCACTACAACCTTACCTCCCGAAGACAAAGTAGACAGCACAAATTCAAAGTGAACAAAATGGGTCACTGATGCCTACCTGATGCATATCCAGCAGATGGATGTGCGTAAGCTCAGTTGTCAGGAAGTCAATCACACGTTGCACGGAGGCACGTAGACCTACGGAAGAGGAGTCCAAAGCAGTGCCGGGACTGAGGGAAGGTATGGGAGTGGAGCAGCAACTGCCTGCGTCTCCGCTACTAGCGATACCGACAGTGAGATTACTCGTGGATGAGGCACAGCTCAGACAGGCTCGACTGCCGACGCCATTGGTAGTAACGGGAGAGGTGACGTTGGCTGGCCCCACAGGCGGCGTCGAGGAGACCTGTAGACAGAGACTGTAGCCCTGACCGAAACGCGATTTGAGGTGCTGACAGGAACCAAGACACTTCAATCGACCGTTTACCATCACGCCAAGCCGTGTGCACAACGCCTCACACTCCTCCATGCTATGAAACAGAGCAAGTTATGGCACGGAGTGTGGCTTAACTAATACAACACAAACAAATGTTATTGGGGTCAAATAGACAAAAAAAGTCTATGTTAACTTTTAGAAAACCTGTGAGAGGAGAGAAGCAGGGTAGCACCGGCTTGTCGGCGTTGCAAGAAGACATTCCACACGCGTCGACGAGAGACGGGATCGAGACCCGCAGTCGGCTCGTCGAGGCATAGGAGGCGAGGTGATCCAATCAGGGCAACGGCAATGCTGAGCCGTCGACGTTTTCCGCCACTCAGGTGGCGTACCAACACGCCAGCAGCGTCTGCCAACTGCAGCGAACGAAGGAGGTCATCCATAGTGACGGCCAGATGATCTGCGCCTTGAAGCCCCCGCAGACGTCCAAAAAGGAGAAGAGTCTCACTTACGGTCAAGTAGTCGGGAAGGGCATCGAACTGTGGACAGTAGCCAATCGAGTGTTGCGCCTGAAGAAGTACGACATCGTGAGGACAGTACTCTGCACGAAGTCCGAAATTATGCAATATCAGACAGGAAAGTGTCAAAGGTAGAACACCTTCTTTCTGGGCGTTAACATCCCACATGTAAGTGTAATCATTAGGTGACAAAATATCAGCCACAAGAGCATACGAATGGGACTCTGGATTTGAGAAAGTGTATGATGGTAGTGACAAACGCACAACTTCAGAAACTACCTGTTATATATCAACTGTTGCAAGCGTTAGGAAGAAGTTTTAGTATTTAAACAAGAGGTAATGACACTCATTTACTCAGTCCAACTAATAAAAAGCAATCAATTCACCCACTAAAGAGTCAGCTAATGTGAATAACAGCCAATTATTGAGGAAGGGGCCAAAGAGGTATTAAAAAGAAAGCAGTCCGCATTAATTTCTGACGCACAATACACGTCAAAAAACTAAATTCGTAAAGAGTCCTCAGATCGGGCCAGGTAACTCGAGATGCTATGTCCGCTGGTCGACCACGTGCCACTGGGAGGGTGTTAGTAGCAAGAAGCAAGGTGTTTAGAACTTGACATTCCGGTTGATAGTTTTGGTGGGATGACGTTTCCACAGGAGGACGAGAGAATAGTTCGCCGTTGGCTGGCGGAGTGAGAACAACAAGAGCGTACGCAGCTGCTCGCAGCGGCAATACAATGTTGGCTTCTGACACTCGGAATAAAAAAGGTAGAATTATTAGAGCTAAGTGTGTCACAGTTATTTATGCAGACGATAGAGAATGCCACCCTGCCGGGGCTAGAGCCGAGGAGGGGCGTGATCGGTTTCCGACGGAAGTGTACCGAACAACGTCTACTTAGACAAGTGTAGTAGGAAGTTCTGGATAATAGACCTGCCCCGGTCATATACCCTATCTTTGCCAAAGAAAATTCGACTGAAAGACTTACTAGGCGTTGCTGTTTGAGAATATCATAGCCATTGACGAATATCTGGCCATGCGAGGGATCCAACTGACCAGTCACCATTCGAAATAGGGTTGTTTTCCCAGCCCCATTCACACCCAGAAGACCAAAGCACTCAGCTGGTCTGATAGACAGACTGCAGTTATCCACGGCGGGAAGGGGATAAAGGCCTCGGCAGTTGACTTCGTAGTTTTTGGAAACACTCACCAACGCGATACTTTGTTGCGCAGAGCGAGAGGGGGAGAGAAAGGAGGGTTAGATATATGCTGACAAGGCCCCATGAAGACACAAATTACTAGCAAGGATTATTATTAGCAGCAGACTGCAGTAACATAAGTGCAGTCCATGACCGATCTGATAAAACATTAAGCGAAATTCTGAAATGTGTTTCCGTTTAGGGAGTATTATTTAAGTGCAGTTGTAAAATGGATCATCGCACACCATATTCTCAAGATATTTCATGCTAGCTTTTGAATGTGAGTTCTTCCGGGCGCATACAGTAACCTCACTCGATAAAAAGTAATTGCTTAATTAGCGGGAGTCCTTTTAACTGATTTTCAATGGCCTTGTAAATTCAAACATAACTTATAGAAAACATAGTCGAAAATGTGCTTTCTTGTAATCATTTGGTAGGAGATTGCGTCTTCTCCGAGCTCTATACTTGCATGAAGGACACCTTTGGGGTTTTGAGGAAGTTTGTAATTATGAGACTTTAAAACCATGAAATGTCCATTCACATAGCATCGTACCTGTCCGTTTAATAACACTTCTTATAAAGTATAAAAGAAAGGATATAAAAAGAATATAAAAAGGATATATAAAAAAGGATATAAAATAAAGGGCATAAAATGTACCTAAATTTATGAAGGCATCTGAAAGCAATGGAAAAATTCATACTACTTGAGTAGTAATTTTTTTGTCGATTGAAGTCTTCGCAAGCGGACAAAGAGGTGCATCCAAACGCCGACATCCTGGTATGACTAAAATATCCTGGAAGGTATGCTGCGCGGTGACTAAAATTGCAACCCTACTTAAGTAATCCTTCTTAATCGAAAATGCACTTCCGCATTTGTGTTTACATGTCATGAGATTGGTCATTGGCTGTAGCAGCAAGAGTAAGGCCAGCAGTTGGACCCTGGTCGTCATACGACAGACTGGTGAATCTGACCAGAAAATGAGCACAAAAAATTTACTCCATTTTCAAAGGCCTTAACCCAATTCTAATACAGAATCGCCGCAGGAAGTGATGAAATGATGCGACGGGAATCCGGTTAATCAGCGGGCAGTTCGTGAACTTCTGTTATTTTTACTTGTTAGATACACGTGAGGCGTAGAAGTCCGCTTGCTGACAGAAAATATACTTCAAAGCCACATCATCAGAGGGAGGCCGCACACTTCTGGATAAAAATCGACGTTGCATTATGTCCGGGTAATTTCTCATGTTGTTGAGTGTCACAGACCAAGGTCGCATGTTTGCCCCCGATCTGCTGTGCAGCAAGGCATCAATGCAAGTGGCAGAAGGTTACGCCAACTGTGAAAAACTCGGCGCCTCGGTGGGATTCGAACCCACGCAGTAAGGGGAAGGCTTTAGTAGAGCCAACGCTCTAACCACTTGAGCTGCGAGGCCCCGCCGGACGACGCGAGTTTAATAACATTTGGGTCAAGTTACCAGCCCAACCTACTGCAACGTCTGGAATCCACAAAATCTGATACAGTAAGTTAACTGCCCAAGCAGGATTTCCTAAGTAATTCACTTAGAATCCACCAGATATCTACCAGGCTCACGTAATTCATAGATGTTTTGGCGGGGCCTCGTAGCTCAGGTGGTTAGAGCGTTGGCTGTACTAAAGCCTTCCGCCTACTGTTGTGTGTTCGAATCCTACCGAGGCGCCGAGTTTTTCACAGCTGGGCCAATATGAAAAAAAAAAATTAGCATCGGCCGGGGCGATGCTCAGACAGACAAACTGTTCCATTTTCTCCTGGGCTTTCGTTTGGAAAAGAATGAAGGGCATGGACATTGATCAGTAAAACATCCCAATAAAGCTTTGTTAAAAGGTTACATCATAATAAGGAGATGTATTTTTAATCCACTAGGAACAAATTCACTGCAGGCTTTGGCTGTGTAGCTCCACTTTCCTCGACGATTAGGTTTTCTGTTTGGATGCGTCTGCAAATATGACGCAAACAGCCGTCTGCATAAAAATGAACGTCCGAGAAGTCACTACTTAAGTAAAAGCTTTAAAAGCTGTCGCATTTTTAAGGTTTTGATAGACAAAAACTAAGCAACCTATCATTTTGGATAATGTATTGAGAATACTGAAAACCGCAAAGTATTTGCTGACGGTCACCCGAAACTCGGGGAATTCCGCGGTCGATAGAAAGTACAATAAATCTGAGAAAAGAAAATGTTCTTATATGACGGAAAATTAAAGTCTCACGACCATATCTGCCAATTATACTCTAATCTACTTTATTCTTACGACGCCATCTTCGCAAAATCAGACAAAATCCTCTACACTTTAATTAACCGAATCTTGAACAACATGAAAACGAAAAAATACATCGAATTCACCTAACGTCCTTCAGGAAAATATAGTCAAGAATTAGGCAAATGACTAGCTACCGCTCTGCATATTAAGCAAATTTCTTAATATGAGGGCCTTTTAAAAGCGTAGTGCGTATGCTGTTCTACTTGCTAAGCCCTTCGCATAGGCAGTCTGCATGTACTTCTGTGAAGCAAGTTTACTTAATTGACACGAATATGCCCGCTGTCGGTAATTGCGTTTTTAACAACAAACAAAAGACTTGGGGGATACAGAAGAAGGTTGAATAGTGACACTAAAGAGATCAAAATTCCGACGCAAAAAGGTTTACCTCGAGTCTTTTCGCAGGCGTTCAGTGGATGAGGATTCAACTTCCTGTCGATGAAGCAACACATCCTCGTCGTCTGTTTGGGCAGGTGTGTATTGCAAACGCCTGGTTTCAGCCGATGGCCGGAAAAAGCTGGAGAGAATGCCTGTCAAGAGAACACAAAATTACCTTCTGCGCCGCAGTAAACTAGGGCATTCATCAGCGTAACGGGAAATTTCACATGCAGTATGAGACCTACCTCGTGAAACGTGACGACGTGAATCTTGATGATCATTTTAATGCACCTAAAACGTTGTGCACTTTACGCATTCGCCAAACAGGTCCCGGAAATTATCCCTTTTAAGTGCAGAATATGTTTTTGAGTGATTTTACTGGGCAAAATGCCTACTAAATTGAGTGGAAATCTACGTTACCTTGTATTCTGACAAGTTACTACGTTAATGACGGTCCTGGACTACGTTTGCGCATCCTTGTACGCTTTTTATGAGAGGAGAGTAATCTAAACTTGAGAGTTTTAATAAACAAGACTTGTCGCACTTGAAAATTGATTTTTGTCCCCGCCAATCAGGCCAAGTTGGATGGCAGCACACAGGTTATTTTTATAAAACCAAATTTTGTATTCATTTCAAAACGCTAGATTTGCAAGCCTGTGTGATTTCATGCGCTGAGAAACAGTAAAATGCATAAAGGCAAACTTCTTGTTTAAACGCACCGGCCTCTTCCTGCCACTTGCGAATACTCCGTAATCGTGAAATGGCCCAGAATAAAACGGCCGTGTTAACGTTTGAGCAAATGGTAAGATATTTTTTGTATTGTTTAGTTTCTGCTAATATATAATTTGGAGGCGGAGCGGCCATAACATAAGCAGTTGGAGCAATATCTTTGTATTCATATAGTCACTCTATTGCACATTTACAAGCGCAGAACAGAGACTAAAAGTAAGCAAAGATAGCGAAAATTACCCTTATATAAAGAAGAAGTGAGTACTTTAGTTTGCGGTATATAAATTACCAGTTTTTCAGGAAAATGAAAAAACAGGCCAAACGTTTCAATTTTTTCGAACTTTTCCTTGAAAAAAAGTAAAGTGCGTGGACATTTGTCAGCGAAAAATATTAAAAAGCTTTTAAAAGAGATGACATAATAGAGAAAGTTCTCTAATTGGTCCAGAGCATATTCATTGACGAACATCGTTGCGGTCGTCCATTTTTATCGGCAGTGAGGTTTCATGCATGACCCAACTATGACGCAGACGGCAATCAGCATAAGAAGGAATGTCCAAGCACTCACCTTTTCGGCAAATGCCTTCAAAAAATATCTTATTTTGAAGGTTTTGATAAACATATAGCACGGGACGTTTCTTTATGAGCAGTCGATTGCGAACATTGAAAACCTTAAAGTATTCCCCGACATTTCAAGAACGCTCTAAAACTCAACGGCATCCAGCGACACCTAAAACGACATAGAAGTTTTACGGAAAGTTCCCTTGATACACAAAACTGGCATACTTATGATTGCGTGTGCTAATTCTATCCTAATGTATCGGTCAACGACCGGCCCGTCGACATGTGATATTGTGGAATATTTTTATTCCTTTGGCGTTCCTATCGACGCAAGCAGGCGAAATCCTCTTTGCCTTAGTCGACCGCATCTCAAACAGTGCAAAAACGGGAAATATACAGTCAATTCCATTGAAACCGTTTTGGAATCTCTACTCAAACTGCAGACTGCTGGCTAAACGTCACACGTGACATCACACAAGTTGATAGAGAATATTTAAGTGCAAACTTTACTAAAGAACTATTCCCAGGCTTTGTTCTGCTTATGCTGTTTTATTTATTCAGTTATTTGCATTGACAGACTTTACGTACTTCTAAGACTTTAGTTTACTCATTTACGAGGGTTTTTTGGCGTTTCCGGCATTCCCAACTTTTTTTAAAAAAGCTATTATTTTTGGACAATTTAATACTACTTTTATTATTTCTTTTGTGTGTTTATTTTGCTTGACGTCAGTTTTTGGCCGATATATTTGGGTCGATTTTCGAGTAATTAGAGAAGTTTCGCAATAATCAGTAGAGTTCATGTATTGGGTCACTTTCTGCATGTGGTGAAAACAAGGTCAGGTCAGTTTTGACGACTGGACTTGAATTAATATGTAAAACAGCGATATAGTGGAAATTTAACTTTTTTAGATGCTAAGAACGCTACGATTATGGGCGTATGATCCGATGAGAGGTACAAGTAAAATGCATGCCAAGGTCGTAAAACTAACAGGACTTGAGGACGATCCAGAGGCGTCGAGCGATGACAGTGTCAGCAAAAAGTACGAAAAAGCCAAACACGAAGCCCTGGACGGCCATTGCGACCAAATGTTCGCCAATTCCGGCGGTTGAGAAGGCGAGGACGTTGTCCGTGTAGTACGCACAAAATGGATCACAGGTCTCTAAAACAAACAATTATGACTACCATGTAAAAGAGCAGCATAGTACCTTGGAATATGCCTGCCAGGAGGAAGGCAATCGGGTCGCACAACAGTAACACTTCCAATGCTACGAGAACCAGTAGTAGGTGGGCCGTCGCCAGGGCAGAAATCTTATTAACCGACAAAAAGGTATTCTCCGAGCTCTGTAATGCCCTCCCCTCCAGTAAAAACGTAGTCACAGAAACTCACGCAGACAGCAGGGTAGTTGGGGGAGGAGAGAACAAAAGTCCTGGACTTCGGGGGCGGCACAGAGACGAGTGTACTCGAAGTTCGTGTGGACAGAAAATATGGCATCCGTGAGGGCGTAGGCCGGCGAGAAGACAATCAGCGCTCTGCGAATGTACAGGGCCAGCAGTTGCTGGTGAATCATCGGCAGGCACAGCGATTCGACTATCAGCATCCCTATTATGCCTAGAGAAAAAGCGGGAAAAGAGCTACGTTAAAAGGGCAGGCCTTTGAACGGACGACAGCAACCTGCAAGAAAATGTCCCTTAAGATCAATAAAGTGAAATTTGGGTTGAAAAGAAATTGAAAAAATAGTACAGAGACAGTGTCAAGGTACGCCGAGCAGTTTCAGTGCCTTAAATAACTTGTTTCGATGCAAGCATATTTGACTCTCGGTGTTAGTCCGAATGATGTGAAGGTAAGAAAACAGCTGTTGTAGCAGAGGGAGCGTGAAACTAAGTACATTGGAATGTAGTCCGTTCTGTTGTCATGTTATTTGCAGTACCATGAGACCTAACGTAACCAAACAATGTAGTAAAACTCTTAAATAATTTTGAAGCAGTAGTTCCCCGGAATGAATTTGAGGCAAGCAAGGACAGCAGGATTTAATGGTATCAGAAAATTTCGCTTATTGAGTAGGATGTAACCGCAGGAAAGTAGTGATTGTTTTTCTTCTGCTTTCGTAGTACGACCCCAATTGCCAGGCAAAGGAGAGCTCCGCAAGGAGAAAAAGCTTCATGCGATGATGAATTAAGGGGAACCATCGACTCGCCGGAACTCGCACAATACCTACAGAGGAAGTGTCTGCTCCCACGGAAGCTAACGTGCCAGTGCAAGTGCCTGATGAGACAGCAGAAACCGAAGCGGCACACCGATGGCTTCGCTTTCAGATGCAGCCGTTGAAGACGCAAGAAAGCACTGAAAACAGGTTCCGTGTTCGACCTCAGTAAATTAACGCTGAGTAAAATAGTAAGAATTTGCTAAAATCTAAAAGGAGTGCGGTGTCCGTGGGTGTGGAAGATAGCACAACGACTGAATAGTATAGCATATGCCGAGACATATACTCGAAGGCATTGGTGAATGAACTTCGTCAGACTGGAGGCCCAGATACTGAAGTCCAAGTAAACGTAAGCATAATCAAGGAAGGAAAAGGAAACAGTGCTAGATAGTCTGAATGCACGACACGCAGAGAAGGAACGTCCTCACTGAATAGGTGAATGGTCGTGTATGGCCCTCCCTAAAGCCGTCATAATGAAGCGGGTAACGAAGCGAGGCATCACGGTGATGAATGAGTAGAAGGCGTTAGGCCCGCCTACTCTCTGTGAGATACGAGCATTATACTGTTAATCAGTGTCAATTTTGTGAGTCCGGCAGCCGTCTGGGATGTCTGAGCAGCCCTATCTAGGTACAGCACTACTCACCCCCGCGAAGGGGAACGGGGCTAGGAAGGGTGCCCTAAACAAGCGCTGCGATCACGTTAATTCCTCCTACGGTGAGTGTTTTCAAGAGACATCTGGACCATCAACTGTTGAGAGGCAACCCCGAACTCCTCAAGCCCAATCTGGCAGACTAGTGAAATAATAGCAACATACTACTGACATGAATTCAACAGATTCTCTTGTGTGCATCAACCTTGACCCGTTTGAAACTTTACGGTGCAAATGCAGTGAACGGTTCTTTCGCAGTTATATCGCAAATGCCATATCTTTTCCGCATTTATGTTTCACTATTAGATTTATGCATTCTGCACACTAAAACTGCACGAAAATGTCTTGCAACTCAACCATTTTCCTTCACACCTGTACCGTTTAAATGGAGTTTTCAGGGCTTCTGTCATGTACTCCAAATATACTGACTGACTGACTGACTGAAGTCAACCTAACCCCGTACGAAGTGGTTAACGCGGCGGTCACGTAAAGGAGGTAAACGCAAACTTTCAAAAACGAGGAAGGGCAACAGAAGTGGCGTACTTCCCTAGTTAGAGTATGTTACGTACGAGAAGAATGCGTACCTGGGGGTGGGGTGTCAACATTGCCCAAGGCCTTGTCTCTGTAAAAAGTAAGGTGGGAGAAGGGCAATGGAGGGAGGAAGGAGCGGCTGGTGGAAGTCATAAGTAAAAAGAATGCTAACGGGATTGCGTCGTGAAAGAAACGCTGCAGAAAAAGTCGGGGCGGACCGCGCATGGATAAGGACTATGGTGAAACACCCCGGACGAAACCATTAAACGCCGAAAAGCGGTACGGCAAACCGCAGTAGGTGGAGGAGGAGAGCGAGTGGTGGAAGATGATGATGATGACCGTGCTACGACAGAAAATCTGCAGGATGGAGCACACCTGCAGTTCTCGTAGGTTAGACCAATGCAACTGGCCTGGCAAGGACGTCGAAATCGGCATTGACCCGGAAATGTTAGCCCGAACGGCATGAAGTACCGTCTGGTGTAGGCGTCCGCGAAGGGAGGGATATATGTAGGTGTAGGGAAAGAATTTCACAACGATGACGCCTACATCGGTTAGCCCTGTAGATGAAGACCCGAACCTCTGGAAAGATGTAAGCCGAAGCAGGCACCGAACAGAGGGAAAAGTGGGATGGAGCATGAGGACTTGCACACGGGCAGATCGGATGTACGGTGTAGATACGGTGAAATTTATAGATAAAACGGTAAAAAGAAAAGGATGTGAACAGCAGTAGGTGGGGTGCGAGAAGGAGTAAGAGGAAGGTGGAAAGGGGAGAATGATGACGAAGCATGCGCAGGAAAGCAGACCAACCTGACGGAACTAGCAGCCGACAGCCGCCGCGAACAATGGTGGTACGCAGGGAACCGTCATCATAAGCTCCAGTAAAAGTTAATACGACAGTAAGTCCAGTACGGGAGCAATAAGACCAAGTAAAACATGCAATACCGATGAGGAAGGAAATGGTACCCGGGGATCGTCTTCGCCAATGACAACAGAGCATAGGACTTTTGTTTCTTAACCGTCTAATTACTGTTGCCAATGTGGCATCGATGGTTAAGGAGATAGCCGGACGGGAAGACGTCCTCTGGGGGTTTGTAAGACGAACAGGCACGGTAAATTTGGCAGTTGGACATCACGTCTATCAATTGCATCCAGAAAGCGGGTTAGATGTGGATGTGGCGACTGTGGCAGTGACTTTATGGAGTCGGGTAAACAAGGAGGAAGATGCAGGTGGCAAAGCTAATGGAGAACGCTGAGGTGGCACTGAGAAATAAGCTACACGGCGTTTAATGGAAAGCTAGCAGCCGGACGAGGAGCCGCAGTAATACGAAGTGAGCCAAGATAAGAAAAGAATGCATGCCAAGTAAGCGAAAACCAGCAACAAAAAGCGGCAGTGGAAGGTGAAACTGAAGTATGCGAAGAGTCAGGAGACGTTGCGATCGACGCTGTCAAGTTCGCGGGCATGACTGGCAGACTCTGTGGCGCCCGTAAGACAAGGATAAACGGAGGTCCGTGGTGAGCGGTAGTTGAACAGAAAGATGCAGTCTCCTAGGAAGTGTTGGTCTTCTCTTACTGGAAAAACAACTGACAAACTGAGAAGCGGAAGAATGCGGAAATTAACCAGTCGAACAACCTGCATAACCCGAAGAAAGTAAGTAAACTGTAAAACACGTAAGGACACAAGGAAGCCCCCAACCGCAAACAGAATGCTAGCGACTAACCATAATGGGTAGATGGTTGCCAAAGCCCCTAAGACAGAGAAGGTAACTGCCAATCGAAAGAGGGAATTTTGGGAAACAAACTGAAGACACAAACCGTCAATGGACCGTACCGTTTAAAACTAAAGCCCAACTAAAAGCCCTGTAAACCGTAAACTAAACCCCAACCTAAAAACTAACCCTAAGTCCTAACGATAAACGCAATTCAAAATCAGTCACTGATCCTAAGCATAAGCAGGAAAGGTAATACAAAAGTTAACCCTACCTTGATCCTAATAGCAAACCCTAACCCTAAATCCTAACCCTAACGTTAACCCTACCCCTAGCGTCAACCCTAACCCAAACCCAAACCATAGCTTCTATACCTAATCCTAACCCTAAAGTTCACCCTAGTTCCAACCCTAACCATAACCCTAGCCGTAACTCCTTAGTTCTAATCTTACACCCCTAACCGAAACCCTAACCGTAACCCCTAACCCGAACTCCAGCCCTAATGTAAGGAGAAGTCCCAAGAGTAATTGTGAATAATAACCGCGGCTGCCTTAAATCCCTAACCCTAAAGTAAGGAAAAGCCCCAAGCGTTGTCGTCAATCGTAGCCGTAGCCGACCACCCTCGAGGCAACGCATATCGAAAACATCCACTAACAGTAGTACACCTACTGAAATCACTACTAGTAGGAAAGTTAAAAGTTTCTAATTAAAGGAGGTCGCGTTTCCAAGACCCACCCTTTCTTGTCGTTGACATCACTTTTCCGACACTCTTATCATAACTAACTGCTCAACAAAGCCGCACTGCCGTTCATACACTGCAAACGGATCAGAAGTCTTACTCTGGGCGTAGCTGTGTGACTGATAGTGGTGATTCAGTGAACATAGGGGGTGGGAGTTGCGCTTAGCGACTTTTGCAGCGACTTTCATCGCTTCCGATGATGGACACCAGCGCCAGCCCAAAAGTCCGGACCAAACCACCTTTTTTGTCTTGATGTTCACACGACTCCCCGCGTCTTACTCGGAACCAGAGGTTTGCACAAGACTCTCCCACAACTGCACTTACCGAAACATTTGGATTTTAAGCCCGCAGGTCCGACCACAGTAGTTTAACTATCTCCGTTGAGTCACTGAATCCCGCAAGGAGTTTTCGTCATTCTCCATTTGTATCTTGTGATATCTTAAAATCAAATTCAGCCGAACGGTGAGAAGAGAATCTGAAGTGCAGGTACTAACTAGATGACATTTCACGAGGCTGAATCTACCATCCAGTGCAAGTCTGGGCTGTAGAAAATAATAGCTAAAGGTAGAAACCATGTGCCAAAATGGCCTGTCTCGTCCTGATTGACCTTTTCTGCTACGTTCGCTCGGTTTACTACTTATCATCGCTTGATGGCTTCAACAGGGGTGGTGACGACTTCCCAGTATGTTCAACTACCATGTCGTTGTGCCTGTTGGGGGTGGCCCCTCGGCCTGAGGTTCGTCGGCTTTCTGCCCAATGATCTATTTTTTAACATAGTCTATAATGCATCCCGAGCCTCTTTTCTCCCCACCAGCTTCGAGTTCATGCAGTTGTCATGCGACCACATAACTATCTTCATAATTTATTTTAAAAAATGACATTGCCTCCCGGTAGCCCTAATAAATACGCAAAAGGACGTGGTGTTAAAACTCATATGATCTTTACTGGTGATGACAAAGTGTACCGATGTCAGTTTGCAAGAGAGTGTTGTGGATTAAAGACTGTTGGTAACGATAGGACTTAGGACCCCCAAGTGGATGGCAACTCCTCAAATATATCCAAAAGTTCAGTGTGGGTGTAGACATCATTTGCAATTTACCATTCCCACTGTTTGAAATTTCCTTCCCTTCCTGACTCAATGTAAACTTACCGGTGGCGCTTTATTCAAAGTCCGTTATTTTTTGGAAATTGCTTTTTGTTTATTTTTTAATTATCACGCTAACTTTTATTGGCAAAAGTCAGCGTGCAATAGGACTTTCGGCAGAAATTTGTCTATTTTCTGTGTCTTCTTGCTCTCCGTCCTGTGTGGTGCCCCACCCATAAAACCCCTTCTACCACTATTGAACGTACGACACGGTCCACAGGATAGCTCAGATTAGTTGGGGGTCCTATACCCTATCGTTATCAAGACTGTTTTATCCACCCCATCGCGTCATTGGAGGCAGAACTCTCCAAGCTCAAGATTCACTTTTGATCAGGGACGACGAGGACAACGGGGAGGCGGGGCTTGTATGTTATTTTATGGGATACTCACTGCCCTGGAAACAAAAAGCGTCGAATGGAGCCGCGTTACGTAACCGAACTACTTCCTAAAATAGACACGCAATAGATTTCATGCTTCAAGGTATGCCAACAGGCGAGAATAGGCTTTCCGTCTATGGCACCAACACCGTGCTACGAATGTGACCACGGCGCATGAGCAACAGAACATGAGAACATTGAGCCCCGAGTACAGCCAATCACAGGCGTCCACAAACTCCATTATCACCCAATCAACTGACCAAGCTGACTGGCTGGCTCCCATGTGACGCTTATTCACTCGCGCACGCACCATGCTAATGAAGAGAAGGGTGCGCAGACCCAAAGACGGCTGTGTGTCGAGGGCTCTGACCACCACTGAATTTCCGTATAGAATACAAACTTCAGTGTCCCTTATCATCTAACGCGGGACTGGGCCATGGCTATTGTGGCGTTGTGAGTTCGTTCACTACTTTTGACGCGATATGGTCGTGGTGCTCCAACATACACCACACAGCATTGCCTCAGCTGCCTGCATTAGCTTCACACACTCGGCCATCGCATGTGCCTCCATGAAAACGTGCGGTGAACCGCCGCTTGGATATTGCCGCATTAACACATACTTCCCCATCAGCGCATGCATCGCACATGAGCACCACCTTCAACACTCCACATCACCGGCACCTCTCACGTGAGTGAGAAGTGTGTTCTTCAGTTCTTTCTCCGTGTGTTTCATCTGCCACGTGTAAGGCCCGAGCAATCTACTTCCCTCTGTGTGAAATCCTGGTGTGGAGGGGCCAAAGGCGTGTGCGTGGCACGCTCAGACGAGCTCTTCTTAGCCCTGCCAACCACCTTTCTCAATCTCAGCATCAGTTGGTTGGCCGGCACGGACAGTCGACTGGTGCAAGGCAAAGGGAAGTGACAAAGTGAGATCGACTCTCGGCGCATAATTCGTCATTAAAAACAAACTGACGCACTTGAGACTACCACAGTGCGCTACATGCTGTGGATTGGAAGGTTGCCAATTGACGCTTCAACTTAGAGCACCCAGTCAGCCCAATGTGTTCGTGTTGAGTGGCCGACTGGTGGACTAAGAACTAGGCTGCAGTGGCTCATAAATGTGTCCTATATGGCACTTCCATTTAGTGCGATCTGAGCTGGTGTGGTGGCATGCGCTTAGGTGCGGGTTTTTGCCGTGCCAGCAACCTGTGCCTTCTGCCGCCCCGGGTCTTCTAGATTCCGCCATGGCACCGGATCCAGGTGGGTGAGGGGGGAGTGCGGTAAGTGCTGCGTAAGTCTACTATAATTATAAACTAATTTACGCACAATTCACCGTCTCTGATTCAACCTTGCTGTGGAACACAGGGGGACATCGTTGGAAACCACGGTCGAACTGTCTACATCGTGGTCATACTTTAAATCCGCCCCTGAGAGCACATATGAACGGCAACTGCCAGTAATGAGACGAGGTTGCTCTTTCCGAACAGCCATGCGCAACCCTGGATACCGGGCACACCTTCACCTAAACCAGAGTTCGTACTGCTGACGCCTGCCCATTCAAGAATTTCTCAAAGCCATACCGGCAGATAAATCGTGCATAAGTCCGAGTATCGATGCTGAAGTTAGTTGCTGCTTTCGGCCTACAGAATCACCGCTCTTCTTCGTCTTCTTATCATCGTCATCACTGATCGTAAAGATTCTGCGCCGGTGGGGCAGAGAACTCACCGGAGAAGATGTTGAGTGCGCTGAGCCAGACCAGGCCGGAGGCGGGAGTGCTGAAGAGGACGGAGAGGAGGTACATCTCGGGAATCACAGACCAGCCGAAAGCAGTTAACAGGAGCCCACTTAACCACAGCCGACTGCCCCGTGCGAAGGGCGGAATACTGAAGAGGAGGAAGACTAGGAAGACACAAAGGCCGGAGATGGCGTAGGTCACCGCGTCCCAGGCTAGCATGGAGAACCAGTAAGTGCCTAAAAGGGAGAGTGGAAATAAAGTGCTGCAGTCTATGGTATGCACATATCCAGAGCGATGGCCAGATGAAATCTAGAGTAGTGTCCAGGGCGGAGTCGTTTGTAGCTTCCGATTGGATAATGTTTCCTTCCAGTGTTGACCTGTCGCGATCACTTCACGTTGTCATGCGTAGCATCCGTATAAATACTGCCTACGCATGAAAAGTGGCATCTACCAATGAAGGATTTCATGGAAGGATTCAAAACCCTTGCTCTCCAAAGGCTTCAAACTTCCCCTAAAGTCTAAAAGTAATACGAGACAAAGCAATTATGGTTGTGGGGAGATTCTAAGTAAAAGACTTTAGATCACACAGTAAGTCCACTAATGATCACCATCATGCCCACAAACAAAAGAACCGCGGAAGGTCACCAATGACTTTAATTTTCGGGATTAACTACTTAACCGTTCTGTGGATGGTCATCTATGCATGTAGCTAAAATGCACAAATAGGGAACGACCATACTTCCCTCTAACCCCCACCCCCCCCCACAAAAAATAAAATGATGTTGATGGGCAAACTCCCGATTTCTGCGACGGACTCAAAGGTGAGAGGAAGGGTGTCGAGTTATCAAAAGGCTGTCAATGAAAGACGATTGCGGGGGTTTGGGCACGCTCCTCATCACGCGTTTCATGAGTCAAATGCTAATGTCTTCAATCCGGCGTCACTGCGTGTCTGACGGCTACAAAGAGGTCAACCGAAAACCTGCCTTGACATCGTTCTTAATGACATGAAGATGATCCGTCGAGCTTCGGTATTTGGTCTCCGCTGATGGAGAGGAGAATGCCAGGTCTTTTGTCGCAGCTCGTCACGCGTGGTCAGGTACAACCGGCGGCACTGTGTAGACTGGCTAGATCAGGCGTGGTCATGGCTGCGATAAGTAGCCCGTAGCTGGGGCAGGAATCAGGCCTGGTTTTCCAGCAGCTATTGAGATGTTAACGGTACGGTAATGTGGTGGAGGCAAGGGCAGAATGTGGAATTACGAGCTAGTAGGCGTACCCAGACGGGCTCCGGATATGAACTGCAGGTGTTTGGCGCTACAGGTGCGCTCAGCAATAAGGCAAAAGACCAGACTGGCAACGAGGAAGGAGACGCCCGTAAGGGCGTTCACTGAGAGGGAGATACCGGAGATGAGGATGTTCACCCAGGTTTCTGGTGCTGTGATTATGCCAAAAAGCTCGGTTGGCGCCGTGGTCGGCAGCGGGTGATTGAAGGTCTCGATACGGTAGAGGTCCTTCAAGAGAAAGCATATAAGAGGAAGGTAAATAAACGGGGGAAATGAGAAAATTGCGAAAACGGCAAGTGGCCAGAAATAAGTTCAAATGGCCATCATAGAAATAGCTAAACCGATAGGACAGAAAACAAACAAAGCCCAGTGACAGACGGAGGGATCACAAACCAGCCCAAAAGGGGGGGGGGGACAGAATAGGAGTAGAACCAAATGGCAAATGCTGCTTGACTGATTAGGAACTTTGCATGAATGCAACTTTACGCGTCTTGAGAAATTGATTTACTCAATTGTGCCAGGCGCGAGGGGGTAGATCACTAAGAACCTAAATGTGACAGTCATGGAGGCGTCATGGGGGTACTATAACAGCGTAGCACACAAGACAAAACCCCAGAATAGCGGTGAGTATAAATCAGTCCCTTTTAGCAGAAATCACGAATACCAGAGTCATGGGTCATGCGACTGCCTTTGATGATGAGTCCGAAAGGAAATCCGAAACGTCAAACCAGTGGACTTATTGTTCCAGCAATCACAGCTTGTTCTACTGAACTGTTTCTTGGAACTTGTCTATTCGCGCCTATCAGAAACCCGGGATCACTGGGGGAAGACTGTGATATGGAACAAGGTTCTAGGAGAAAATCCCGCTCATGCAAAAGCCTGTTGGAGTTGAGGAGACATTTTGGTGGGGACGACACGTAAACGGGGTTTGAGACGGAGCGGATGGAGACGGGTATAGGGAAATTAACAAGTTGCTTGATTTCGGTGCAAAACTTTTAATCAATTATAAGTTAACGGTAGGTAAAAAGCATTAAAGAGTAAGAAAGTGGAGGCAAAAAGCTGTCTTCTGCATGCTTTTGAAAAAATGGAAATATAAGACAAAATAAAGCAGGGTTGAATGATACACTCGGGAGACTTGTAATGAAAATGTAATGGAGACTAACCGGGTCCTGCGAACTTTCATTAGCCGCCTTTCGGAGCAGAGCGTTGGAGAGAGCATTAAGGGCGACCGGAAGAGCGTGCAGAGATTCACCCATGAAGTAGCCAGTCGCCTCAATAACATCTGTGCTTTGCTGCACAACCAGTCCAACGATGTATTGGGTGATGTAAATGTGTAGGCTGCTCAGACTTGCGTTCAAAACGCTCTCCTGAAAAACCACAGAGTCAAAACTTCACTCCTACCACCTTCTGTATTCTTACAACCTTCAACGAGCATTATTAGTCCTACTAGAAACCTGTGAACAGCGTTGCAAAAATTACAGGCTAAAAATATACGTAGGTCCGATGAGAGAAAGACGTAAGTCGTGAGTCCATGGATATGCACTTTACAAATATGCGTCGTTATATTATAAAGTAGCATTTTGTGCACTGTATTCAAGCAGATCAGTCAATTATGTTATGTGCATGGAGCAAGTGACATAGCGACCTGCCTAACTGTCTTATCATTTATCCTTCCGAGGAACCATGACAAGGGCTAAGTAGAATCATCAAGGTCAGCAGTGTAACACTAAAAGAACATTTTGATTTAAGATGGGGCGAAAAATTTGTCGAACTAGCCTCAAAAGTGGAGGGACTCCCGAGCCTGCGGATGGTGGCCTGACTAGGCACAAATTGGCTTTCGTAGGCCGTCAACAGGCTCGCGGCGTCGGGACTAGGTGCAGTTGCCGTGGCAACCACCAAACCCGAACCAAACGGCTTGAGCGAGAGGGCTAGCGCGGGTAGGGTATCGGAATCGCTGTTGGCAAACTCGCGGTAGAGGAGATGGGCCACCAGAGTGCAGATGCAGGGGATGAGGAGTTGGGAGAAGGTGAGAAGGGGGTGTCGCTTGCTGTACGTAAACCTCTTCCCCAGGAGGGCAAAAATTTGAGAACAGTAGAGGGCTATGCCGGTGGCGCTACGCAACTCAAGTGGATCGAGGTCAAGAAGCGGTCCAGCTGAAAACGGGAGGTGGATGTGAAACGGGGGGGAGGCATCAATATGATACAGCGCTGAAGTATTGTGAGCAGAGTCGGTTTAACAGATCGATGTAAGTGTGTAGGTTAACTTAAGAGTTTAAGGTGAAAAGTGTGACCGGATAGGCGTATATGGTTTAAGGGATTGACATCTGCAACGTGCGCCAAGCTACGGGAGGTAGTCCCTCCTATCAGACACAATCTGACCCCCAGTTCTTTTTTGCCACCAAATGAAACTGCGCTAAGTGCAACCGCCACATCTCGGTAACTTTTTCTACCGACAGGTGAAGCCAAACGTAGGTAAGAAGGAGTAAAACCCACTCAATCAAATTGCGCGTGTAAATTGGTCCGGCTATGGGATAGCTACAAGCAGTACAGTCGTACGCTTCATGTCAAGCACCCCCCCTGCTTCAGGATTCCGTGAATTGAGATCCGCAGAACTTTTCGGTGGTTGAAATTCTTTAAAATATCACCGGCAAGCATACGGAAGCTATTTTGCCGGTTACCAGTTAAAAAGGTAAGGTCGTCAAGGCGAAGGTGCACAGTGTTGACACACGCCATGAGTGGATTTGACGGAGTGTATTTACGGGGTCAATGGGGTAAGTGCCAAAGGGTCTAAAGTGCGGGTGGGATAACCTGCAGCCAGGTGTCTTAGGAAAGTTTATCAGGACCCGGAGAAGTTGTGGAGCTTCAGGCGAAGTCACGTGCGATACTGCACCGTATCTAGGCGAACCCACAATTCCCTTCCACAGACGGGGCCGCTTTTCCGCAGTAAGTGGGACTCTAAAAAACTTACATGACTGACGGTGGTGGGATTAACAAGTTTTTCGAATAATCTAATAACGTGCACAGCCCGGTGTAATAAGGCGTACGTAAGCTTTCCATTCGTCGGTTAGATGTACACTATCGACGGCTGCTCACATCTTAATAGCGACGCCCAGTGAAGGTCATCTCATATCATTGGCCTGCTCAAACAGGGCCCGCAATTGACAAACAGAAGACATACCTACCACCCAATCTTGATGTTTGCGGTGTCCTATATCTTACTTGCGTGCCCCAAACGGTCTCACGAATCGGGACTTACACGCTCGGACCACCCGGTCGGCGGAACTCCTACCCACACACTCCTGAAAATGGGGTGCTATTCAAATGTGTACTGTGGGCTAATTCCCATAACTAGCGTGCAGTGTCCAACAGGGTAATTACTGTTGGCGAAGATGAATCCAGTCTGCAGTGAGGAGAGTCTGTTGCCGCGGGCACACCTGAACAACACACCTATGTGGTGGATTTTCTGGTTCCTTTCCTCCCACAGCTGTAATGCAGTCGGTGGACAAGGACACCCTATTGACGATACAAGCGAAGATGCGAGTTCCAAGAACTAGTTGATCATCATCATCATCATCATCATCATCATCATCATCATCATCATCATCATCATCATCATCATCATCATCATCATCATCATCATCATCATCATCATCATCATCATCATCATCATCATCATCATCATCATCATCATCATCATCATCATCATCATCATCATAAGAAGAAGAAGAAGAAGAAGAAGAAGAAGAAGAAGAAGAAGAAGAAGAAGAAGAAGAAGCGATCGCTGGAACAAGGTCTTTATTGGCCTGACCTTTCGGATTCTCATTTGAATCCATCATCACTGCCACTCTCTCTGATGATGGATTCAAGTGGGAATCCGAAACGTCAGGACGATAAAGCCCTTGTTCCAGCGATCGCTTCTCCTTGTTCTTGTTCTTCTTCTGATCAAGGACACCTTATTTTCTGACAGTACACCATCAATTCGGGCTAACCAATGATTTGTTGAGTTTTTTCGTGATCCTTTAGATAGGAAAGACACGCTTCAGTTCTCATCGTGAAAGACCACCTGTTGGACAACTTGCATGAAAAACAGGATACCCCCTAGTGGAGGGGACAGGCATTTTATGAGTAATTATGTCGCTGTGCGGTCGTACTCGCGGTCATGGCCTAATTCTTACTGTGCGCAGCTTCATTCCCTTCCCCGCATATGCCCTTGATATCCCTGACGTGCACTTTCTGTGATAATGAAGCCAATGTGTCTACCACTTAGACCAACATTGGGGTACTTTGTTACTCTTTATTTTGGTCATGCCTGTGACCTAAGACGCACTAGTCCTCGGACGTACCGTAGGCACCGGAACACACCTCCTCTTCAGCCTGCCACATCGTGCTAAGGATTCGAACACGTATCATTCCACTCCCTTTTCTTAGTTTGTTACAACTCGGTGACACCTGTTATTACTTCTTGTCATACCAGTGCCTTAAATCAACACTAGTCTCAGCACTTCCGTGTACGATAGCTCAGCCATCTCTGCGACGGCAGTAATTTACTACTAAACTCGTACTTACTAACGCCCCAACCTCAAAACAACGTTCTTATTAACTCCAGCGTATCAGGGGCTTTCTGACCAACTGATCTTTGCTGAAAAAGAAAAGCCAAAAATAATAAGCGGTCTTAGGATACAGTACTGTTGGATACAGCATGTCGAATCTTGCCAAGAGACTACTTCAACTGCCCTTCTTATTATGAATTTTACCCATCTCACTGTATTACTCACTCCCTCAGGTTATCCACATTTGGTCCACAAAGGTCCTTTCCACCCGTTGTTTTGCTTAATTCTACTCAAACTGGTGCAGTTACATTGCGCTAACTGCGTTGCGGCAGGCAGCCATCTAAACAGTGACCACGCAGCATACAGACGGTTACACGGACATATCACGCTAGCGTATGGCCTTCACCTTAAGGTAGTCCAGCTAACATGACTGACGATGTCCATTGTGTGTTCCACAGCAGGGCGAGAGCACGGACGGACGTGGCACAGACCCCAAATGGCGCGGCGTGAGACGGCAACTGGGCGTGCCACCACACCCCGAATGTTGGCATTTGTTATAGGTGCGCATTCCTGACAACGCCTGCCGGACTCCGATCTAGCCCCCGTGCTGGTTTAGCGCATCTACCGTTTGAGGGGGAACCTCACCTTACACATACGCATCCAATTGTGGGGTAGTAAAGACGGGAGAGGTGTACTCTGATAGAAATACGCGGAAATCCGGTTCTACAAGTACGTACGTTATGGTGCCTGTGGGTACACGTCTAGTTGGGGGTCTGACCATACAAACCCTGTGGTAATGAGTAAGGCCGTTGGGGAAACAGGATCATTTACTTTATTATACTTCATTCAATGGGTGTGTAACTGCGAAGTTATAATAATACCAGGAATTACACTGGTTCGTTTCATATCGCATGATCACTATACGAAGGGTCTGTGATTTTCCACGCGATCACATGCATCTCATCCCACCCAAGCAGCCCCAAGATCCACCTCTACCGTATGAAATTTTGTCTTGAGGACAACCTAAGGGGACAAGCCTGTATTACAGAAGAATAATTTTAAAAAGGACTTCCCACGTTGGGACAGACGCAGAGAGGCGGAAATAGTTAAAACTAGGGTTACTTACGTGAAGATGCATAAGACTGAGACTCGATGGAATCTGCAGGCAGAAAAAACGAAGGTGGCATGACCATTTCTCGGCTAGATGAGTAAATTAAACGACTGACACGCTGCTTTGCAAACATACAAAAGCCGGATGTCCCTAATTCCTATTTTAATCAGTGGTTACGGATGCTATGATGCAAAGGGCAGCGATTAAGGTGATAAGACTTAAAGGCAGTCCAGTTCCGTTCAGTTTTACTAAGGAAGGGTAGGCGAACGCCTTTGAACATCGCAAAACAACACAAATAAAGTTGGAAAAAAGAGTGGCTAAATAGTTGCATGCAACAACCATGTAGTACTTGAGACAATGAATGGTGTGAAAAAATTGAATTATCAAGACTCTATATTTAAATGGACCAAGTAGTATGGAAACAGACACTTGAACTTCAGCCAGAATTCATCGGATCACGCATCGTCCGATGGGGATATTTACCGAGACGATTATAAAATAATGTCGCTGAAACATGGGGAGAAGTATACTTGGTAGTGTATGACTTTCGAGGGATGATATAAGGAGGGAAATTTGCTAGTTTCTGATTGTGTGGTCAAGCTTCCTCATAAATGTGTCCGCTGATGGGGTCACGACAACGTCCACAGGCGGAGTATTCCATGCCTAAACCACTGTGGGGCTGAAAAAGAACCTCCTTGAGTCCAGTCTTGTCCCTGTCACACGTATTTTGGAAGTATGTCGCCTCAAGCTGGTAGTGGTGGCCGGCTCAAAGAAGTCGCCGGACGCTAGGCGACAATCCTGACCCCGCAGCATGCGAAACGCTTGAATTAAGTCGTCAGGTAGCTGCCTGTATTCCAGAGGAAAGGGGTCGAGATTGGACAGTCGAGTTTCGTAGGACAGGTTGCTTTGGCCTCTGACAAGCTGAGTTGTCCGTCGTTGGGCTTTTTCAAGGATGCAGCGGTCTTTGGCAGTCCACGGTCTCCAGGCCTGAATGGAAAATCCCAAATATGGTCGCACGAACATCCAGGAGGCCTTACCAAAGCACACATCGTCGAACTCCGTAAATGCTCGCTTGATGAGATGTAAGCTTGACATTGCGGATTTAGCTACTTTCAACCAGTTGAATGATGCTTTCAATTAGGTCGCGATCCACACACCTAGATCCTTCCGAACTCCTACCTCTGGTAGCTGTGTGTGACTTAGATAGTACGTCCTCCGGTGCGCATAGCTGGTTGGGAACACTGAATTGGAGGAGCCAATGACTTAACCATTGTTCGAGTTGGTTCACGTTTGCCCGTATATTTGTTTCATCATCCTCGTTGCGGATGACGTTCCAAAGCTTCATGTCGTCAGCAAACGTGATAATGCCACAGTCCAACCCACGGATGCAGTCATCAGTATATATAAGGGAAAGGATAGGGCCAATAACAAAGCCCTGAGGTACGTCGCTCGCAACCGTCACCTCCGCCGGTTGCTGGTCACCAAGACGAACCATCTTAGATTGACCAACCAAGACGTTTTCAATCCACTTCAAAAGCTTGCCTCTTACCCCTATGCGGCTGAGCTTGTACAGGAGACGTTGGTGTGGCACACTATCGAAATCCTTCTTGAAGTCTACGTAGGCCACATGCACCACGTTTCCTCCATCGATCGCTCGGGTCCACCGTTCTAGACAGTTGAGTAAATTGGTCATGCAGGACCTTCATCTGCGGAATCCATGCTGCCCATCAGACAGATGATGTTGCTCTAAAAACTGCGTCGGCTCGCGTTCGATAATTCGCTCCATAACTTTGCAGCATAGGGAGATGAGGCTTACCGGCCAGTAGTTGTTTTTGAAAGCGCGACTGCCACTTTTATGTATCAGTGAAATCCAAGCAGTCTTCCACTCAGGTGGCAATCTGTCTACATCGAGGGAGGGCTAGGAGAATGATTTAGGAGTTCTGCCAGTTTTATGGCTAACCACTTCAACAACTTTGCTGGTATTTCATCAGGGCCTGGCAATGTCGCTTCTTTCAGCTTCGGTAGTTCTTGTTGAGCAATAGCTTTCATGAGACCTACTGAGTCAATTTTTGGGACCTCATTCGCACTATATTCATCAGCGGTTAAATCGGCTTCTCTCGTAATAACTGAATGACGAATTTAGATAGATGCTCAGCCTTTTTGTCGTCTACACAAAGTTCAACCTCACCATCCGTTGTTTAGCACAGAGGTGGGGTCCCTATTGTGAGTGCATTGCCTTATCTGGTTGTAGAAAAGCTTTGGATATTCTCCTGCACAGTTCAGTAGGTTACTCTCGAAGTCTTGGCGGGCTTTATAAACAAGGCTGCCTACCTTATTTCTCCGCGCTTTATAGTTATTCATTAACTCGGTAGTCTTCTCCCTGAGATAGGTTTTCCACTGTTTCGACAGCGGTTTATTTCTCTCTTTTGTGTGGCTTTCAGCCATCGGGGCCTGCTGGTGATCTTTTTTTCCATCTAGGGCAGTATCTGGTGATAGGTGCATGCAATAAGGCTTTAAATTCCAACCAGTTCTCGAGAACACACTTCGTGAATGTTGCTTTCCAGCCTGTACGGCGCACGTCGATTTTCATTTGGTTAAAATCTCCACGCTATATGTTGCGTCTGATAGTGATGCCTTGATCAGGTACGGAGAAGAGGAAACACTTCCACTGTAGAACTTAGTGTTAACTTTTTCCGAGAGGGGGTACATAGTTTACGACATCGACGTCGTCAGGCGCTTTCGTCATTACAAAGTCCAAGCGGTTGGCTTGTTGTCCTTCACTTAGCCTGGTTGGAGACGAGACGTGTTTAGTGAGATGTGATTTTTGTACTGCTTGTAGGGGGCGGCGATCGAAGTTTAATTCTGGGCCTAGGGCAGAGTTCAGATTTCGGTCGAAATTCGGAGCGTTAAAATCGCCCATAATCATGAGAACGGATCGGATCGAAAGCTCTTCTAATCCCTCTATCAGACTGCTGTCTGATTGAGTCGTCCCTCCGTGGTCGGTAGACCGTCAGGTTGTCGAGAGCTTGTGATTCCGGCGTTCTGATGGTGAGCCAAATTGTCTCAGTTGTGCGTGCGAGCTTTCCCGTTTTTTTCTGACACAATCAGGCCATGTTTGACATGTGAGGACACCCCCACCTTGGCGTCCTACTCTATCCTTTCTGAACAAGTGATAACCGGAAAGATCGACTTTGTGACCGTTTATGTTCGCGGACAGCCATGTTTCAGTTATGGATATGACATCTGGTAAAGTTTGACTTACGTAAATCTTAAGCTCATTTAATTTAGGCGGCAGATGTTGCGCATTGGTATGCAAACATTTCAGTTTTTGTTTGTAGCATGCAGGCTATGCCGCCACCTTTGTCACGTGATTCAGATGTGGCGACATACACACAGGATGAGTCCATATAAACCGGGACGGCCGTTCGATTATGCGGTTGTTGTCTATAACCAGGTTTTGTTCTCCGCTCCTGTGTCATAGTATGAGCCACTGGATTAACTGCTGACATTTTAGCCGCTCCGCTGGTACGTAATACGGCTGAAAAAAGGCTTCTTGGTGGGAATATTTTAATCGGAAACGTCTTGAAGGGATGAGATTAACCTGCTGTTTGCAACTCAGAACAATTTTGAAGGGCCTAGAATGTGGTAGAATATAGATTTCAGTAGTCCGCTTTCTGAGCCTGAAGACTTTTTATACCTAAAATTCTTAGTTGGGTTGAAGCATTGAGTTCAGAAGACCTTGGAACAAGTCAAGATCAACTAGAACACGTTCCTTAGGCATGTCTGCAGTTGTCGCCTGAAGGCTCTGTATTACCAAGCACTGTTCTCGGAGGGGACTGTTCTTTTACGTGATGATGGCGATTCGGAAGTTCCCGGCGAACCTTTCAGGCCGATGTTCCTGTTCACCTTGGCCCAACTTTGAAAAATTCGGTGCCTCGGGTTCCACAGTTGAGTCAAAGTGAATCATTTGAAATCTGCCGAAATACCTCTGATGTTCTGATTGCCATCTACTTGGGGGACCTTTTCTTTACCTAACAACGCAGTGTCCGTGACAATACTTTCCCTGTCTTTTGTGTCAGTAGTGAGGATGTCCGAATCTGACGCGACTGTGTCTACTTGGTTACTCGTGGTTGCCATCGACTGCTCAGGCAAGTTTCGTTTTTCTACTTTAGCAAGTTCTTTTTCTCGATTAGATTGAAACCGTCCGAATTGCGTCGTTCCCTCGAGATGAGGAAGGAAATGGTTTGCATTTCCAGTGATCGTACCATGGAACTAAAACATAACAATATCCCCATATCTCCCTCCCAAAGACCATTAATTTTTATACAATTTACCACGACACATTTTTGGGAACGCAGATTTGAACTTCTGATTTAAACCCCGCTGCCCCCTACTCCTCCGTAGCGTGGCGGAACGGTAAACTGCTGTGTAACGAGCGAATCTGTATGGTTAAAACGCGGTAAAAGGGAAACAGCTTCGGAACCACCAACTTAAATGCTGCAGAGCATCTGTCGGGTACGAAGGACTCACTAGGACTTACCGCAATATATTCATATGCGAAATCTGCTACATCCCTTCCTGCTGGGCTGCCTGGCAAAGTAGCGAGCATTTAAGGTGTGTCATTGCTGCACATCCTACGCCCGGGTATGTTAGTCAGCCCGGAATTACGCCCGATAGATAGCACTCCAGGATACCAAAGACTGCGCCCTGATCGGCTGAAGGGATGGTTGCGTCCTAGTTTACTGTTAGTGCGAAATCTGTTCCCTATAGGTTCTGGATCCGGAGGCGATAGCTTTTGTTACCGGCTCCAGTACAATAGATTTTTCCTTAGACATGCTGCTCTGGAAGCTGTCGGCCTAAAACAGTGCCAACCGGGACGATCGGAGTACAACTACTCAGTCTATAAAAAGCTGGTTAAGCCGAGATTCATTACAAGGTGTCTTTGGTGTGCGGCAGCGGGAGACTTTGTAGATACCGCGTTCCAAAACGGACGCATACGTCTAGAAATACAGCACAATATGATGCGTCTCATTAGCTGTTCTTCTGCATAGCACGGGGAGCATCCTACTGAAGACTAGTCCTTGTGTTGGAATAAGAAAATGCGTGGCGCACGTTGACTGCAGTTCTATGCCAAGTCAGGTGCTGCGCCCGATCACATCGCCCACAGTCGACCTGAGTCGAGGTTGTCACTGGCATGGAACAGAGATGTGTGAGCTCGATTCGGTGCAGGTTTAGTGAGAGACCGATTGTACTCCAGTGATCAACCAGTTATAGTGTACTGCATAAAGTGCCTACATTGTCCTGGTATTTATACAAGTCCGACAGAAGACACTGATCGTTAACTGGCTAAAGTGACCCTTCACTTGAACTTTATCCTGTTGTTTCTGTAATCTCTGACAACGGACTCCTGCACGGATTTAAAGGCTCAAAAATGTATACAAATGGTTTCGGTGTCCAACCAGTGTCCATTGATCTCGATGGTCGGACGGAATACACTCATTTTTGCCCTGGAGCTTCGGCCTTAGGCGTACTCAAGCAATCACCTAACAGCCAGCAATTAATAACCGAAAAGCATTATCTACGAAGACACGGGGCTGGAATGGTATGTTGCAGTCAGTTGGAAGCAGGTTTCCATTCCAGTTCCTAATCAGGCTAGATTGGTGAAAGCTATCATATGCTAAGAGGGGTAAACTACTCTTAGAAATACAGCCCAATGAGTTGCGGATAGTCAAATTACAAATGTGTGGTAGGTCAAAATTACGCCAGGACATTTACTTGTGTACACTGCGGGAAATCAAAAGACGCACATATCCAGACAACGTTTACCACGAGATATGGGCTCGAACCGAGGACCTTAGGTCGGGTGTTCTACCATTAAGAGCTTCCCGATTTTTCATGGTCGGCCCAAAAAGTGTCCCAATCATAAAATCTACAGATTATAGCAGGTGTTTGACCCTGAGCATCAAACTACTGATTAAGAGATAAATTTAAGATCTGTCTGAAAAGAGTTGAACTGTGCACCTGCCGCATACAGGCATGAGGTTTATAGCGAAAAGATCCGTCAGCTCGCATGGGCTACTCAGTTGCATACTTCTGAAGCTTGAGTACACTCAGATTGGTATAAGAAAAAGTGTCTTTGGCAAGTGTATCCTTTAAATGAAAGAAGGAGGTTCAGGGGGCAGTGATAAAAGATTCGAAGACGACAAGCAAGACAGACTTCGCAGAATTAATTGTCAAGCCTGCAAACTAGACAATCCTGGGCAGATAAATGATCCATTAAAGGCAGTGTTGGGCTTGAGGGGTATAAATCTAGTTGTCATATTTCAGTTGAGCATCAGTGGAAAACAGTATACCAAGAGAAGAGGCACTCACCACTAGTTGACAAAAAGGATCCGCGCAGTCGGTTAGGTGGAAGGAAGTGACTGTCATTCTTCGAGGTCAGAGTTGCGGAAGATGGTCCGATATCACATACTCTATGAGGCCAAAGAGGATAGCATTAGAAATGACCACAAGAACGCCTCACTAGCTTGATCGGAAAATAAGAGTACCTCAAGAAGACGTCCTCCATTGTCGTTACGGAGAGGCCAAAACTGGCGATTCCAAGGGAAAGAGTCCTCTTTTCCAACAAGCCCAAAAGGTTTGGAAAACTGGGGACAGATTCCAACGGGAGGATGATCTTCAGTTCATTTCCATCGTGCGACTGCACTTCGGCTTGAAAGATGTGTTGTTTGATAAAGGCGACAACCTCCTCCGAATTAGACACTGGCAGGAGCGTGAGAGTTAAGCAGTAGCCAGTTCCTGGACAAGAGGAAGTGGCTTAATAAAACCGACTCCAGTTTTTGCAAGTAAATTGTTTCAGTAAATAGACACGCACCGTATATGGATTTCAGAAAGAGGGGTGAGCCAAGACACTTCAGCTTGCCCCCCGACAGAATGGCAATTCGATCTCCCAAGTATTCAGCTTCATCCATATAGTGTGTGGTTACTAAGATTGTTCTGAAAGGGCGCTCACGTTGGAGAATGTCCCAAATTTGTCGACGAGCCGCTGGGTCAAGACTAGAGGTTGGCTCGTCCAAAATGAGGACCTTAAAAACAAGAAATGGAAAAGAACCTGTGAGGGGGAATGAACAATAAGAGATCCAGTAAAATGTACAAATAAAGCATAGATGGGATCTACCCTCGAGTTAGCGATGAGTGCCATGCCAAGGGACAGACGGCGCTTTGTACCCCCTGACAGAGTCCAGGCTCGTCGATTGCGTTTTCCTTTAAGGCGAACCTTAGTAAGAGTGGCCGTCACCTGGGCATCTACTTCACTTTTCGGACAGCCTTTTAACTAAATGAGAGAAGGGAAGGTGAAATAAAGATATAAAGACACCCTCGATGTACTCTGGACGACAGGAAGGACAGCACAAGATGCCAACTTGACATCTGGTGGAAGACTCACGCATAAGCCAAAAAATTTCAAGCGGGAACGACTTCAGAGAATCTTAACTCACCCGGGCAAACAATCGGAGGTGCTCGGAAACGGTTAGGTCATCGAAGAGAAGGTCGTGCTGGGGACAAAATCCGATCGTTTGCCTAACAGACTCCACGTCAGTTAAAATGTTAAAACCCCCAACGTAGGCAGTACCCGTAGTCGGTGGAAGTAGGCCTATGTTCCACATAAAGCATGGATTAATGACATTAGGGCGAATGAGTGGAGGTACCAAAAGTGTTCACATGCGTGTAGAAAAGCACAGAAAACTTACCCGTGAGAATGGACATAAGGGTTGTCTTTCCAGCCCCGTTGTGGCCAAGAAGGACGGTGATTTGTCCTTCATATGCGCTCATGGTAACATTTGTTAGGGCTGGTGAACCAGATAAAGCATTCTTGTATGACTGCATGTGAAAAGCAAGGGGAAAATCGTGTCATGACGCAATACGATCCTATTCTGCAATGCATTTGATAGGGGAACATAGTACGTCTCACATACACTGCCGGGGGTGGGATGATGATATGAAGGACCCCTTATAGTTTCATACTATCACCGCTGCTGCTGCCAGCTCGATCGTCGCGAACGAGTATGCTCGCCGTGTGTCCTGATAGCGTGCTGAGCGCAGGTCGGTGACTTGTGCGTGACCTGGTTTAGAGGGATGGCACACTTACCCAAGATCTGCTGCGTTCTCCCCTCCCCCTAGCCATCTGGACCCGATGGTAAAACATACTCGGGACGACGGGAAGCGGGCTGCGGCCAAATGCTTGACAACGCTAAGCAGCTCGACTGCGTGGACCACATACAATCTAGTCCTCGCACACAATATACCAGGATTTCACAGAAACAGAAAGAGGTGGATCGGATCCCGTCGAAGTGGGAATGCCGGAGAGGCCACATAAAGGAGCCATTGCAGCCTGATTTCCGGTCCTCGAGCCAGTCACCCAACATGCACGTGCAATACTGGCCATGCAGACCAATTTATCCATCTAGCTGGCAACCTTCCAAGTCACAACTTTTAGCGCATTATTGTAGTTTCAAAGAACGTCCGATTTATTTATCAGTGAGAAATTCTCTAATATGCCATGAGGATGTATTCCTGGTGTCGAATCCACTCTCATCCGCCTCCCAGGCACCAGTTGGCCGTCCAGGCATGTCAGTCATCTGGTACTGGGTGCCGTCGCTACTACTATTATTAGTAGTATTGTTGCCACCAGTATCAATACCAGTACTGGCTGAAATGTTATTGAGAATGTTATCATCAGCAAACGCGGCATCGTGTGCAAAAACAGATCACAACATTCGGAAGTGACCTTCAGTAGAGTCGTGACTTAGCTGACGATTCACTAGTCAATCGGCACGTGCGCATTAGTGATGCTCTCGACTGCGACCGCTAATCCGCATCAGAATTTCCAGCATAAAACCTGAGGTTTGAAAGAATTTCTAACTTTAATTTGCTCAAGACGGGGACATCTTTTCAGAATACTGTCAGGAGGGCCAGAATTCTCAGTTTTCTTTTCATAGAAGACCATCGGCTGCGGTTTTGTAGCGGGAGAGTTTCGTGTAAAGAAATATAGTGGCCGGTAAGATGGAGCGGACAGGAAGTCATATGAAAACAGTACACAGAATCACATTGCACATCCAGATGTTTGCAGCGTTCCGCAAAAAAAAACGGAACACGTTTACGGTTTGTGAAAACTAATTGTATGGAGGCTCTCGCCGAGTGAAATCGGAGTGTTGAAACAGTAGGCGTGTGCCACGCGTAGGCAAGGACGAATGCATGGTCGGTCACTGCACCCAAAGTTCATCTTCACTAACTTTTACTATGAGTAAAAGTTAGTGAAGATGAACTTTGGGTGCAGTGACCGACCATGCATTCGTCCTTGCCTACGCGTGGCACACGCCTACTGTTTCAACACTCCGATTTCACTCGGCGAGAGCCTCCATACAATTAGTTTTCACAAACCGTAAACGTGTTCCGTTTTTTTTTGCGGAACGCTGCAAACATCTGGATGTGCAATGTGATTCTGTGTACTGTCATGGTACGGAGAAAAGAATGAGGTCAATGCCGGGCCAGCAGCCCTACATTATCATCAAAATAATGCACAAGTCAACGCTGCCTTCCCAGACAGCGGTGTTGCTTCCTAATTTCGATGAAAAACCGCCAAGTCTTCAGCCCACATGAATCAGATTTCGGCCAATTTGTGCGAAGGAATGGCCGTAAGGCCGCGTTAAGGGGGGACCACTGCAACATGGCCTTCAGTTCCTAGTCGCTCTGTCATTTGGAAACCTTCCAAGTCACGACCTTTAGGGGGCCGTGATGGTTCTGAGCAGGTTGGACTTGGTATACTGAAAAAAGAACCCGCAGAATCTGCCTTATTCCCCCCTCTTTTTTCCTTCATACTAAGGCGAAGACTGAGTAAAACTGGCTGGAAATGAGCTCAGTCACCAGGACTAATCAGGCATTTCGCCTACGACTTTCTTGTGCCACATGAGTGCACGGACTTCGGTTGTCTGAAGCAGTAGAACTGCCCGTCTAACGGCCGAGTCGGACACACGCTCAGCCCGACTGTCGGTTGTACACTTCGACAGTAGGAGCATCTCAAGTCTGACGATGTGACGTGAACTCTGCAGGGAGAAACCCAACACCGTCATCCCTGATCGGGGTCAGGTAATGTGGACCTCTAACATCGACAGCAGCTTGAGGATGTCTCAGACGCGGCGTCTAGTTGCAATGAAGGTGTACTCAAATAAGTAATTCGTGCTTTTCGCCCTAAATGTACTCTTCTTCCCTCATAAAACCAGCGACCGGTTACAGCTGGAGGGGGAGTGAAAATTTGGGTCAAAGAGGTGGTCATGTCAAGAAAGCTGGTCACCGCAACAAATCACGCAGAACGACTAGGAATGCGACCAATAAAAACATTAGTGTTCTCCTTTGGGAGAGGGTGAGGGAGGGGGTGGGCTGGTACCCACCTACTTGCCTTGCTCAGAGCGTGGGTACTGATGCCTGCACTTAGGCCGATGGGTGGTTCCTCGAAAGAGGTTGAATACACGTCACCGCCTGTCATAAGGCGAGGATGAGGGGCAATAGGGGGCTCCAAATGAGTGGATTCACGCAGGGGACCGACGAGGCGGCCAGCAACACCGTCAGCAGAGACCGGGACTCCAGGTCTGTAGCGTAGGAGAACCTGAAGTCGATAGAAAGCATGCGAACGCTCATGAGACGAACACTATGATGTGAGGCGGATTAGATATTCATCCGCTGTTTTCAGTTTGTTCAGCCTGAGTATTCGTTGCGTAGCAAGCAAAGCATGTGGACCAGTAAGAAACGCTGAGAGGTCCCATGCGGAGCCGAGCCCCTCGCAAATGCGTCACGTAACAGCAGAAACAGGCAGACGACGCGTTCAGTCTTTTAGCTAGTACGTATGTTGCAAGTACGTTCGGACCAGCACTGTATGCATACATTAAGGCGGAAATGCCTTTGCGGATCGCATACCCGTCCCGTTGCGCCTTGGGGCTCAATCCGGGATCTTCGTAAGGTGGGCGCATAGCGACCAGTAGTTTTGGTATTAGCAATGACAAGGCAGGCCAGACAGCCGTTAAGACGAGACACGCAGGACACTGACGCGGGGCTAACTCATCCAGCCCGATATGACTTACCGTGCTGGCAGCGCAGGTGCTAGCTGTCTCCTAAGTCCGTTTTCGGTCCAAATGGCTTGGATACGCGCGAATCACAAATTCACTCATTGGGTCGCCGCCCTCGAGTTTCCTTGTAGAGGCAGCTCGCCAAAGACCACATGCGCTACTTTTCGCAACTCACAAGTCGAAAATTTTGGATCAGCTACCTCAACAATATCTTCGTTATCCGCAGACTTGAAGTAGTCCCAGAATCCAGCGGTGTCTTAAATTCCAAAGAAGGTAGATTTCCGGGCCCACAATCTATGGGTTGCGTGACTGGCTAAGCCTGGTGCCGAAGTCTGCTGCGGTTGGAGGTCGATGCGGCTGGATCGGTCTAGATAAACTTTGTAGCAATTAATAATAGAAAAGTCTTCAAATCAAAGGCAGAGAGTCTTAGATGACAATCTATGGCCTATTCGCACGTATCCATCGTCCATAACTTCATGCTGGCGAGACCTGGTATATAAATTTAGATCAACGGCGCTGAGGTCAACTGAATTCAAATACTGTATCATTGGTCTAAGTTGTCACTTTGGATCTTAAATAATCACATTCAATGAAGGTGACGCCCACCAATTTGGTGTAATTGCACTTTATACTGTGATAGGTGCAAAAAACAAATATTCCGCACGTATAGCGCTAAGTTCTTTTACCAGAACACTCTTTCTAACAGTCAGGCCTTTCAGGAAATATAGAATGCTGTAAAGTACGTGACTTTGCAGGACGCATCGGCTCATATGAGCAGGGGGGGGGGTCTCGGGTGAAGAACAATAGTCGCAAATATCGATGAACCAGGTGGTTCAGAAAGCAACCTGGTGCTTTGCAGGAATCACGAATCCATCTGACAGACGCACTCCAGAACAACATCATGCTCGATAGCTGAGACTCACGCCAGTCAACTAAAATCTCAAGGTTACTCGCATCTTCCACCTGTAGGGAGCAAAAGTAGGAAACTCTTAAGGAAGAGGGAACAGGATGAAATAATGCATGGAAAAATCAAAGTTAGACTGTCTAAAGGTCTCATATCTGTGTGAGCACGACTCTGTTCGAATCGGAGGCTTAAATTTTGCTGCTCGTATCTCGCTGTAAGGTGAACTGTTTACGCCAAGGCACGAGTACAGAAACCCATTCTATTCTGGGGGCCTTACGCTAATTTACAGGCAAGTTTTGAGGTTAGCGTCCGCGTTAAGTTTTAGGTTAGGGTTAGGACATGGGAATATTTGCCCATCCTGGAATTTTGCCCAAAGTTACCTGTAGTACCGGGGAGGGGGGTTTCTATCCCGGTGTATTCCCTGTTTACTGCTGAACCTCCGTTTTGATAAAGGCCCGACTACACCGAATCAAAAGACAGGGAGGATTTCGTATACAACTTCATTTGTGCACTGGCACGAGATATTCTGGGGGGCGTCTCGCGTAGACTCTTCGATTACTTATCGACAGGCCTGTGCAGTTATAGAGGTCAAAAGGGGGTAGCAAAGGCTAAAAAAGCACGCAATGAACAAGGGTGCTGAGGGAGGGTTGAAGGGTGCCTAGATATGCCAGATTTGAGGAGGGGGGGGGTATTACGGGTTGGTTTCAAGATGGGTATAAGTGACAAAGCCAAAGAGAACTGGAGTGGTTTATATATCACACAGCCGTTTAATCCGACTTGCATATGATACATTGAACGAGGTGAGGAGGCCAATGAAACAGCCGTAAAGTGTGGGCTTACCCGGAGGGGGAAGTACCAGGGTTTCGGTATGCCGTACTTTCCGGGGAACACATTATCCACGTACCAGGCCACGAAGGCGTATAGGATGATATCGATGAAGAGGACTATCCAGATCATGTCCACTCGTAGCATATCATCGGAGGAGACCTGTTTTGATAGGGATGACCAATGCAGTCCAGCACCTGCGACGGAAATAAGGAAACTGAAAATAGGGACTTAGACGACCATTTCTCAGCAAAAACATTAAGAGGACCTTCACTACTCTGCCATCGTAATCGATAACTAAGGCGAAGTTAAGTTTGGCTTGTTTATTGTCGCCAAGTAGTCATATATGGACTGCGGGTCAGAGAGGCTCCAGATTCGAACTTGGGTGGAACCCAGACATGGACCCGCACTCTGCCAGTCGATATCAGAGATACTCAAAGAAACCCGCGACTTGTATTTCTTCTCCGCTCTCACAGCAACCAGGGGGTGTTTCTACCAACAAAGACGTCGCTTGTAGGCAAAACAAACAAAAATTTAGATTTTGCTACTTGCGTTATGGAATCCTAGACCTTCGGGAGCTGCAGAATTGAGAGCGCTGGTCCAGATTCTGGTGGCTGTAGGTTTAAAATTTCCAACAAAACGTACAAAACCATTACTTCCTTGTTTGTGTCAAAGCGCATCGGGGTACAGACTGGAAACGTGTGCCGGGACAAAAATAGAGTAAAACGATTGTTTAGCTCTTTAGCACCCTGTTGCCCGCAGCAAAGACATTAAAGATTGACATCTAGTCAGCCAACCAGTATTTAGTGCCTTTCAGCCCTGCAAATAAAGAGTCCATGTCATGTTTGAAAGCCGTGACCTACAAAGGCCGTCCACAAAAGGTTACATTCCTCTACGAGCTTGTGTACCGGGGCAGAAAGATGTTTAAATTTGGCAGCAGCTTCCTAAATAGTAAATATGGGCGACAAATCCTGTAGAGAAGACCCTATTGAATTGAAGGTCGCTGTGGATGAGGGCAGGCAAATCCCACGATGCCATCAAGGATTGTCGAAAGAAAAGTAGGCCCAGGCAAAAAGGCGAGGACGATATTTGAAAATGCAAAGGGCAGCTTACCCACGCCTTCAAAATGGCCGATGAGGTAGCTCAGAAAGCCAATGGCCATGTTTGGTAGAAGACAGAAAGCAACCTTGGTGAGTAGGGTATAGCGCTCATAGTGAATGGTGATGAATTGGTAGGGGCTGAACGTCAGCATCAAAACAGCACACGTAACCGCTGCCCCGGCGTGCGCTAGCAAGAAAAAAACCAAAGAATTTAAGTAGAACTTGGGGAAGAACTTATAGACGGTTTAAATGCCATGAGGAAACTACTGTATGGGCGACTTGAAACGAATAAAATTTGGGAGAATATTGAAGATAACTACGGCGGTGGAGGCTCCATTCCTGTCTCCTAGTAAAAGACTCCCATGTAAATAATGCGTCTTTTCTGCATGTCTGTTATAGTCGTCGCCCTAAGTGACTAGCTAGAGATAAAAGTAGTGTTTTGGTTCGGGAAGATACACCTAAAATTATTACACCGAAGTGTCAAGGTGTTTAGTTCTTTTTACGAACAGTTCAGCTTTATGGCTACTCCTCCAACAGCAATTAGGATCTTTAAAAAGTAACATTTAACCTTTACCACGACGGACGTCTGGAGGTAATCTTCGCCCTGAATATCTGTCTACAAGGTGCATGATTTTTAATTTGCCTTCCGTCGCACGATGTACTAAAATGTTGGCGTGTACATGCGCCTAAGCGCTCAGAGCCATTAAAAGACCCCAAGGATTGTGGTCAAGGCAGTTAAGCAGGACTCACACGAGGAGAAGAGAGTAGAGAGAGCCAGAATGAAAGCAAGCAAAGCGAGGGAGTAGAGGAAGATGGAACAGAAGATGATGCTGGGGTCTGAAAGGTTCAGCATCCGACCACCAGCGCCAAAGTCCACACACAGGGCTGCGGTGAGGATGGCCGAAGAGACGGCAAACATAAAGGCAAAGGTAACGAACCAGGAGGTCCAGTAGGTCAATGAACTCGCGCCGAACATGTGCATTGTCTCCTAAAGAGCAAACGGGAATCAGAGGTTGGTAAGAGGGGCAAAATGAACATTTTATCAAATTACCTCGGCCAAAATTAACGCAAAGTCTCACTGTCCTTGGCATAGTGGAAGAACACATACCGAGAGAAATTGAAATGATCGGAAGGTCCCGGAAATTATTTGGATATGGTTACCATGAACCGCGCTATGTATTAAGATGGGGCAGGGGTGACGGACGGGAAACGGGGTTTAGACTATCCAAGAATGGCAATCAACTTCCTCGGATATCACTAAAAGACGAATCAGGTTGGTACGGATTGGATCCCCAGTCCCTAAACCCCTGGGCACTGACTGCAAAGGTTGGAGTCCCACGAGGAAACCATTCCTCGGACATGTAAAGGGAAGTTAGTGACCTTCAGGGCCGCCCGCAACCGTTTCATTTACACAAACAATGACACCCAAGAAGTACTTCAGTGGGAAGTCGACATGACGTGGAATTCGTTTTAATTTGCGCTCCACATTTATTATTTATGCATCTCAATATGAGCCACTTTTTCTATATGGAGGCACATAACAAAACCCCAGCGAGAGTCTTATGAGCTTCGGGGTAAAATGAAGATCTCACTCGGGATCTAGAATTCTGACAACTGGGCAACTGAGCTGTGACCTCGCCCCTTGAGGATTTAGAGGATGACTAGTAATATTTGCATAAAAACACGCTGATTACACCTAAATGGAGTACACAGTACGCCGGTTTTGACTGGAACGTTCAGTTACTGGTTAGGTTGACATAAAAGGCTGCGGTAGTCATTGATTCGAATACGCTCAAGCAAGTTGGCGTGGTCACTTGTAGACCCCAGTATAGCTGATGATTTCACACATGAATGTGCAAATTCGCCATCAATGTATAATAGGGCAATTACGTCAACAAACTTAAAATACTCCAGCTTATCCCTCCCCCCTTCCATAAAGCACTAACATTGTTTGTGTGTAATTTGAAAATGTTTAGTGACAGAGATGGACCACACGCAGCAAAACGACCAGCAAACAGCACGCACCTTAATCCTACCGCTCTTCTCCTCCAAAATCCGCCTGATCAGATAGACAGCAGGGAAGAGAAAGCCAATAACAACCATGAGTGCTAGCTGCTGTTCCACAACCAGAGAGAACACGTCCTCCAGGTGAGCCGGATAAGGCATGCGTTTGAATTTATAGAGCGGATCAAGAGGGGCTAATAGAGACGTCTCGTTATCCATGGATGAGCGTGACTTCCACTGGGCGCTGAACAGCTCGATGACAGCAACGTCTACAGCAGCTTGGACTGCCAGAAAGCCGCTATCATGGTATTCCGGGGGGCCGGCTGTAGGGTTCTGAGGAGATCGAGGTCCCAGGAGCGGAAAACGGGGATAGAGGAGACGCGTCTCCCAACTCCCTATGGAATGCATTCGGATGGAGTAGACAACTCGCCGGCCATGCGATTCCCCTTGACAAGAGTGAAATATAACTCCGGCAAAACCAGTCTTCTGTGTCTGCGGTCGGCTTAAAAATTCCACAAGATCAGCCTCCGTAGGAAATGCCTCAACTGTGATGCTGTGAGTGGAAGCCACGTGGTCCATAACCTCTTCAGCGAACTGACATGGCGGCGTGTACACGAGGTGCCAGCCGTCCGGTGTTGGTGGGAAGGTGGCCACACTAAAGGCGGGCCAGGTAGTGTTGTTTTGGTCACGAGAACGGGGCGTTTTTGCACGGACAGCCAACAAAGAGAGGCAGATGAGGGCAGGCAACAGGGCTATAAGGAGACTGCTGAACCATCTGCGCCGAAGGATAAGGAGGTTTTTCAGGCAGAGGATGTGCAGCTTGCAATAGCAAGTCATGCTGTCAGCTAAGGTCAGGGCAGTTGGACGGTGAGCAGGCACTGTATGAAACAAAAAGGTCTGAGTAAACGAACCAGGAATGAAATCAACGGCACGGATATTCCTGGATAAAAAAGTGGGACAGGTATACCGCAGGTAAACGGGACGAGCAAAGTGGCATCGAAAGCCTATTTGCAGTTTATGGACAGAAAAAATAAGGGTATTTCCTACTTCCAGCAACAGAGATAAAGAAGATGAGGTAGAAGGGTAAAATTCAAAAGGGGTGATATGAGTGGTCAATGGCCTCGGGCAAAAATATCAAAAATTCTAATCATGATATAAAAATTATTTTCGACAGAAAACCCTGATGTTAAAAGCGGTTGGGAGTAAATACCAACCTAATGGCATTAGATCTAATCAATCCATACTTTATCAGTTGTCTGAAAGTGCAGCAAGCAGCCTATATTTGTAACCTGCTGTCTCTAAAGGAATTTCGGACAGGCTGCCAGTTTTCCCAGGGAGAACGCATATCACTTTGGGTTCGCGCAGAAATCCATGGCTGACCTAACATTGTGGCCTCTCTAAATCGTTGACGCTGCCTTGCCACTTCCTTTACTGTCCCGCATTCTCTGGTAACGAATGACACAAGAAATCAGACAGTCCGAGATCAAGCACGTAGACTAATCTCAACATGCATAACCTAATGAGAAGAGGATGATTGCACTTCGTAGCACTTGGATTTTGTGAAGGACTTGGCACAAAAGCACAACGCTCAAAAGTCATTTCAGTATTGAATAGAGCTTATACATTGTAAGGCCAATTTTAGGGAACTTGTCGTCTGAGCTTTCTCAGTTTAACTGACAAGTGTTGGACTGACACTTTTACCTTGTGGAGACAACTTACTGAATGATTTCAAAAAGACGGGGAATTGATGATATCATACGAAATGATGCGCTCAATGTATACCTAGCCTTCGAAGTTACTTACAAGAAAAACATCTTTTGTGAGTCAAAATAATACATTCGAGAGACCGAGAAGCAAAACAAAACCAGTTGTCCGGTCCAATTCGAGCAGCGGAGAAGAAGTACGAACAACCTAAATTGGTCAAGACATACATTTGCGTGTGATGAAGACGTAGGCTTGATGAAAAGTGACTTACTTCAATCCTATCAGGGTCAACAACTGTCACTGCAGCTGAGGCTACGGCTGGCTAAGGAATGGCGTATCGTCCCGGGCAAATAGGTTCCCCGTTGGCCAAGCCGTCGACTACCTGGCGCGTCCACATGTGGCAGATAGTGGAACAGCCTCTACCGAACGTCAGCTGATAAATAAGCCGGCTCTAAGGCATGGCGAATAGGCACTTGCAGATTGTTAGCGACCGTGCTACCAGAGCACGAAGAGCTGAAGTCTAGTACGTCGACTGTCTTATAAAATACCGCAAAGCCCAATAACTGCACTATGGCTTGGTGACCGTGGGCTGCAATTAGATTCTTCTTGTCAGAACTGCCTTGTGGTTAGGTTGTTGAGCCAAAGCTCTAGAATGGAAACCTCAAACAAACAGTCCGAGAGACTGATGAAGATCCACTTGTGCTCAAAACTCCCAACAAACTTAGAGGAAATGTTCGGTTCAAGCATTGCGGTCGATGCTAGGCGTTCGTATGAATCGGCGAGCTCCGAAACCCCCGCCGAGTGGGGGAGCGAGTAGCATGCGAGCTAAGCTACTTGATCGGGACATATTTTTGGTGCCCGGAAACCCGGATGCACTGAACACCCGTTCAGCTAGCCCTCCTGTACGGTTGTGAATGCTGGATTATGCGTGCGGAAAGCACGCGAAAACTGGACGTTGCTGATACCAATTGCCTGACAATCATCCTCCGAGTGAAGTACACTGTCATTGTCCTGATTGAGAATTCCGCATTTGCCATGAAAATATCGCGGAGATATCTCAGGTCATCCAAGAAGGATGACTGAAATGGCTCGGACACGTCCTCTATCGTCTGCGCAATGGGCCGGGTGTTACTGCTCTCGACCCAGTACCGCTGCCCACATGGAGGCGTCGAGGCAGATGTCAACTCAAAAGCTGGTCCGATTGTCAGTCAAGAGATAAAGGCAGCACCTGGACCTCCAGTAATCAGCTTAAAACGCTGGGAGAGAGAAAGCGTGAAACGAGCTCCCCAGATCCGCCATTGCAGATTGTCATCCGTGGAGGAGTGTACTCCGCAACATCATCGAGGCCGGCTATAGCAGACATGGTCAAAGCCGTATAAATGTAGTAGGTCAACGGAATCAAGAACGAAGCCGATACAAGGGACCGTGGTCAATTATCATGCGATACGAAACTGCTGCTTCCCGACCTAACGAAGACAACTACATGAATGGAATGCGGCAGACAGATCTAGGAAATCGTTGTCTTTTTAAACTTTCCCGTTTCTCCAAGGGAGAAAAATTCCTAATTCGAGGGTACATAGGAATCTTTTCACATTAGTTACGCACTTTAGTATGCATGAATAGAGAAACGGGTACCCCAAGAAGTTTAATCAAGAAGACGAAATTCTTTGGGAAACTGCAACTTTTGTTGTGTAAATTTTCGAGACTGGTCCCCCAGCTCATATTCAGACTACGGGTGCGCAAAAACAATTAACTCCTTAACTGAGTCTAACAAGCTATTCTATGATTGGCTAAAGTCTGTGTCAATGCGTGGTAGTTGCACCTTGTCACCTCTTTGAGATTGGTTGAGCCAATTTGAATTTTTCCTTGACGATTTTTTATGTGGCATCTAGACCGATATGACGGTAGATGCATGCCTCATCTGCGTGCATTTCTGCCGGGAATTCATGGCCTTTCCTTATTGGGCGAGTGCGAGTGTCCTCCCACGCAAATGCGTGTCCAGTGTGCGCATGGCCACCTGGGATAGATGGTCGTGTCTCTTCACCGTTAACTGATGTTCATGTGTACGGGTTGAGAGAGATTTCCCAGTTTGGCGACAATAGACGGCATCACAACTAGCACATGGAATTTTGTAGACAACACCTTTTCTATCGAGGTAACCAACCCTGTCCTTGGGGTTTACAAGCTGTGTGCGTAAAGTAATTGCCGGATGGTGTGCTACGTGCATCTGGTGCTTTTTAGTTGCCTTTCGGGTAGCTCCGATGCACTTTTCGCGAATAGAAGATTTCACCAGCTGATTGGTTTTCTTGCCCGAACGATGATGGCACTGGAAACAACCTTTCCTCTGAATTGCTGGTGCCTCATACATCGACGTATAAAGTCATGTGGGTACCCATTTTAGGAAAATAGTTTGTAGAGGTACTTCATCAGGACGGTGAGTTTTGGCTCGATTCGGAAGGCTGTAGACCGTACTGTGTTTGGGAGAGACAGGGTGATTACTATCGGAGTGCAGGATGATCTCTGAATAAACCTCTTTACGATAAACTGATGTGTTAAGTGATCCATTAATCTTTCGATGTACATTGAAATCCAGGAATGGGAATTGTCCATCAACATTCGCTTCGGAAGTAAAATAGATTCCTGGAAATATGCAGTTAACATTGGTAAGGTGCAAATTTAAATAATTTTTTTTTTGACGATGACAAAAGTGACATCAACATAGGGTAGCCTGGGTTTTGGGTTAATTGTGGTATACATACATACCGGTGTGTAATTACATACGGGTTATAACCGGTATATACCGGTTATAACCGGATATCCGGTTACGGGGATGATTAAATAAGGGTTCTGAGGTAAGGAGAGAACACCCAAACGAAAGGACTATTTATATCCTTCACTATTTTCCAGCTCTACAGTTATTGCACTGAACAACGTTCCGCAGTAAGTTTGGTGTCCCACAGTCATTTAAATTGCAGTTCGAAATACTCCTGAATTTAGGCAATTTATTAGAGGGATAATTACATAGAACCATTCAGAATATTTCGAAAACAAAATGGCAATTTATGGAAAAAATAAATCCAGTCAAGTGAAGACCAAGCAGAGAAAGAGCCGTAAAAACTAGTAGGATATGATAAAACCATGATGAATCTGCACACAGTTTTCGTTCTTGTGACAGAAGCGGAAGCGCACACAAACAAAGTTCAACGAATGCCAAAGTCTGAATAGTCAGTTTTTTCAGTGTTCAGTTTTCACAAGCACTGTTGTTTTGTTCATAAATTTGCATAACCGCAGTTGAAAACGGCATGCAGATAATTCGTCCGCGTTACACCTGCATTTGTCGCCCGTCATTTTCGACCTGAGGTGTGTATTTGTGTTTTCTGTTATCTTCTGCTGTGGCTTGTAATTATTCAGTCCATTTAGTTTAATCGGGAGAATTATGGGCGTGCGCGTATGATATTCTTGTTTGTTACAGCCAACAGAAATGTGCTAAAAAATTTCAGGAAGATACGCATTAAGCGCTTACCGAGTCCGTCAAAACCCTTAAGGTGCGACGTCAGTTGTCGCCTAGTGGCAAGGTAAATGTGGGCAATTACGACCCATAAATAAACGTTACCGAAATCAACTCAGTAGCGTTTCAAACTATACGGATTCCATGAAACGTCAAGGCAACGACGGTGGGAAATGTTGTCCATACTCATTATGCGTTAAGGGCATTATGGTGCGCAATTCTCTAGTGGTCCAGTTTCCTTTTGATGGCGTCTACGTATGTATATATTTTTTTGATTGCGATATTCGCCGACAGAATACTTCATTCCTCAACTAATCTGTTTAAGGAGAACAGTTTCCGCATAATTAGCTTCTCCGCAATCGCACGCAATTTGAATAGGTTTCAACGTAGGTTCGCTGTCATTGTCAACTCATCTTAAGGCATAAGGCAATAATCCTGACCACGCTGAACTTTTGTATTACGTCATTTAGTAACTGTTTATAGTTCAAAGTGTAGCAGCCATTGGATGAGTTCAGGGAGGAATGAAAAGAACTGAAAATAAGTTGAAGAAGAAGGTGTTAATATGAACCTTTGATTTTACTCCACACACTGCCGTTACACTGGTTAGGGTTCGGGCGGCTGACGA